CTTGAAATGTATGTATCCTTTTGGGGAGACTTGGCATGATATTTTTATGATATTTATGATTTTTATGATATTTATGATATTGAGTCTTTCAATTCATAAATATGGTATGTCTCTCCATTTGTTAAGATCTTCTTTGATTTATTTCATCAGTGTTTTGTAGCTTCAGCACATAATGTTATGTTAGATTTACATTAAAGGTTTTCTTTGTTTATTTTTTGAAATTATAAGTGATTTATATTTTTAGTTTTGGTGTCCACGTGTTTGTTGATAGTATATAGAAATACATTTGATTTTTGCATATGCTGTGACCTTCATGAACTCACTTATTAGTTCTAGGAGTTATTTTGTAGATTTCTTGTAATTTTCTACACAAGCAATCATGTCATCTGCAAATAGGGATGGTTTTATTTTTTCTCTCCTGATCTGTATGTCATTTTTTTTTTTTTCTTTTCTTGCCTTATTGCACTGGCAAAACTTCTAGTTCTATGCTGAATACAAGTGGTGAGACCAGACATTCTTGCCTTGTTTCTCAGCTTAGGTTGAAAAACATTTATTCTTTCACTGTTAATTGTGATGTTGGCTGTAGGAGTTTTGTAGATGCTCTTTATCAAGTTGAGGGAGTTCTCTATTTCTAGTTTTCTGAGTTTCTTAGTATGAATGAGTGTTGAATGTTGTAAAATGGCTTTTCTGCATCAATTGTTGAGATCATACAACTCTTCTTTTGTCTTGAATGTGGTGGAGGTGATTTTCAAATATCAAACAAGGCTGGCATCCCTGGAATTAACTCCACTTTGTCATATCGTATAATTCCTTTTATGTATTTATGAATTCTATTTGCTAATATTTGTTAAAGATTTCTTGTATCTATATTCCTGAGGTACGTTGGTCTGTAGTTTTCTTTTTTTTGTACTATCTTTGTCTACTTTTCATATAAGGGTAGTGCTACCTTTACAAAATGAATTAGGGATTGTTTCCTTCTCTTCTGTATTCTGAAAGAGATTGTATAGACTTGGTGTTAATTCTTCTTTGCATGTTTAGTAGAATTCGCCAGGTAAAACTATCCGGACCTGGAGATACCTTTTTGGGAGTTTTTAAATTACATATTCCTTTTCCTTACTAGTTATAAATCTATTCGTATAATCTATTTCATGTTGTTTTGTTTGAGTTTGGTAGCCTGTGCTTTTGAGGAATTGGTCCATTTCATCTAAGTTGTTAAAATTTTTATATGTAGAGTTTGTAGTAGTCCCTTACTAGCTTTGTGATATCTACATAGTCTGTTAGTGATATCCTCTGTTTCATTCTGGATATTGGCAATTTGTATCTTCTCTGTTTTTTTCTTTGTCAGTCAGTTTTATTTATCATGTCAAAAACCAACTTGTTGTTGCAGTGTTTTTTCTCTGTTGTTTTTCTATTTTCAATTTCATTGATTTCTGTTCTTTATTGTTTATTTCTTTGTATTTGCTCTAGGTTTATTTTGCTCTTTTTTCCCCCCCTAGGTTTTTGATGTAGGAGCTTAGATTATTGATTTGAGACTTTTCCTCTTTTCTAATGTAAGCTTAAGTGCTATAAAATTTCCTTTCAGTATTGCATTAGCTGTTTTCCACAAAATTTGATATATTAAATTTTCATTTTCACTCAGTTCAATGTTTTGTTTTGTTTTTTTAATTTTCCTTGACGCTTCCTCTATGACCCATGGATGACTTAGAAGCATATTATTTTGTTTCCAAGTATTTGGAGATTTTCCTGTTATCTTTCTGTTGATTTTTAGTTTGATTCTATTGTGATCAGAGAGCACACTATATGATTTCAGTTCTTGTAAATTTGTCAAGGTTTGTCTTATGGCCCATAATATGGTCTCTCTTGGAATATGTTTTGTGAGCTGCTGAAAAGAATATGTATTTGGCTGTCATTGGGTAGAGTGTTCCATAAATGTCCATTAGATCCTGTTGATTGATAGTGTTGTTACACTCTTCTTCATCCTTGCTGATATTCTGTCTAGTTGTTCTATCAAATGTTGAGAGAGGGGTGTTGTAGTCTCCAACTCTAATTGTGGATTTGTCAGTTTGTTCTTTCAGTTTCATCAGTTTTTGCTTCATGTGTGTTGAATCTATGTTGTTTGGTGCACAAACATTTACAATTGCTATGTCCTCTTGGTGGACTGACCCTTTTATCATTATGTAACGTCTCTCTCTGCCTCTGATAATGTTCTTGGCTCTGAAGCCTACTTCCTCTGATAATAGTACCCCTGCCCCAACTGTATCCGTGTTAATGTTTACATGATGTATTTTTCCCATCCTTTTACTTTCATCCTACCCATTTCTTTATATTTGAAGTGAATTTCTTGTAGACAGCATATAGATGGATCATGTTTTTTAATCCACTCTGCTAATCTCTGTCTTTTATTTGGTATATTTAGACCATTTATGCTTGATGTAATTATTTATACATTAAGACATAAGTTTACTTTTTTATTTTTTGTTTTCCCTATGTTGTTCTCTCTCTGTTTTTCATTTCTCTGTTTTCTGTTTCCTGGCTTCATGTGGGTTACTTGAACAGTTTTTAGAATTTCACTTTAATGTTTTTTTCATTTATAATATTTTTATGTGTATCTCTTTTCATAGCTATTTTATTGGGTACTCTAGACATTACATTTTATATACATAACTTATCACTGTCTGCTAGGTGAACATTTTGTCAGTTTGTTTGAAGTGTAGAAACCTTACTTCTTATATCCCTTTAGTGTCCTCATTTATAATATGATTGTCTTAAATATTTCCTCTGCATACATTTAGAACCATTTCAGACAGTGTTATAATTTTTGCTTCAGCTCCAAATATAATTTTGAAAACTCAACCAGGGCAACAAAGCCTATTGTATTTACCTATATCTTTCCATTTTTATCTTTTCCTTCCCCCAGATCTTGAGGTTCGTTCACTGTTTTTTCAGTCTATTTTCCCTTTTAGTTTTTACATTGGCTAATTGCTATTACTTTATCGTCAAGTTCACTGATTCTTTTCTCTGTCCATTCTGCTGTTGAACCCATTTATTGAGTTTTTTATTTTCATTATTTATTTTTTAGTTCTAAAATTTCCATTTAAAAAAAATCTATTTCTTTGCTGAGACTTTGTATTTTTTCACTTGTCTCATGCATTCGTAATTGCTCATTGAAGTATATTTATAATGGCTGCTTTAGAATCTTTGTCAGATAATTCTAACATCTGTGTCATCTTAACATTGTCATCTATTAATTGTCTTTTTTCATCCAAGTTGAGATTCTTCCTGGTTCTTAGTATAACAAGTGATTGTAGATGGCAACTTGTACATTTTGGGTATTTTGATATGAGACTCTGGGTCTTATTTAAACCTGTTTTAGGGGGCTTTGTCTGACACTGCTCTGAGAGGAGAAGTAGAGGGGGTAAAGAGCTTGTTTTTCCAGGTGGAGGTAGAAGTCCAGATTCCCCATTTGACCTCCGTTGATACCTGAGTCGGAGAAGGACTCCTTGTTACTGCTGGGCAGATGTGAGTTCCAGCTTCCTGCTAGGCCTCCATTCACATCACCCTGGCTGAGGAGAACTGCTCCCCATGCAGCTTCCACTGACAACACTGGCAGAAGATCAGAGGGTAGAGGGTGGTCTCAGTGCCCGTGGGTGGTGTGAAAGTCCTGACTCTCTGCTAAGCCTACTCTGACTCTACATCAGAGGGGTGGGGAGAGATGTTTAGTTACTAATGTCAGGTTGGGTGGGAAGTCCAGGCTCCCCCAGATGATCTCCATCATGGTGTGTGGAGAGGGTGGGCGGGGGGGCTCATTACAAGCCTGCAGAGATGAAAGTCCCAACACCCTATCCTGCCTTCTCTCATACCACCTTAACTGGGCTTCATTGCAACCTGATGAGGGTGGAAGTCTGGGCTCCCCACTTGCCCTTTGCTGGTGTGTAGGGTAATGGGTCAGTTTTTCTGTGGTGCTTCCTTAGAGTAGAGCAGTTATTTTCTAAAAGTTTTCTGTCACACTAGGCTGCCCCTTCCCTGGGCCTTTGGTTGGAGAGAGTAAGCTTTGGTAGGGGCTTTTTTTGTCTGTACCCATTGCTGTTTTCAGGTTGCCAGCTTCTTCAGTTCCAAGTCTGGCATATAAGAGGCAAAAAGAAAACCCAGGAACTCACTGCTGTATTGTTCCTTGGTCCCAAGATCTCTAGGTCCTAGCTGGTCTGCCTTCTTCTATCTACCTTTCAGCGTCTTCTTGTGTTTAGTCTATATATAATGTCAGGCATTTTAGTTGTGCTTAATGGGAGAAATAGGGAAAAGTATGTCTACTCCATCTTCCCAGAAGTGGAAGTCCTAAATTTTTCTTAATGTTAAGCAGCACTACCTGTTTTAAGCATTAAAGAGTCTTCTCAAATCAGATGTCTGAGAGGAACTAGGAGAATATAAATGTCTGTTATATTGCCAGACTTCTTTTCTACTTAAATATGAGGCATTTCAGTGACTATGATCCATTTGATAACAAAGGTAAAAGTTCTTTTGGCATTTTGTGTCATGTTCTTTGAAAGATTAGAGCTATTGAAATGTCTGAAGGTTTTATTAGTAAATAGCATTTATTCCGATGTCTAGGCAATTCTTTGAGCCTACTGATAGTCTTTGTTCACTCCCTGCATTTCTCCGTGAGGTGTCCCAAGGCCATCATCTACCAGACTAGGAGGACCCAAGGGAGCTCAACCCCAGGCACTTCTTCCATTCCCCTTTCTCCTGACACAGGACTTTCACTGGAAAAGTAAAATAGGATCCTTTGACAGTCACTCTTGAGCCTGCAGAGGTGGCTGTCACTTAGTGGGCTGGCTTGGTTTTATCTGTCCATAGCGGGTGAGTCTTTTGCTCTTTGTATTCCTGATTTAGCAAGAACATGAAGGGAATCCAACATTGCAAATAAACTGTTGTATTTCTTTCCCTTTTCCAGGCAAAAGCTTATTATCCCAAATGGAAGTTGCCCTGTTATTCTGAATACTTATTTCTGTCAGAAAATTGTTGCCAAAGAAGATTCAAAAACAACACAAGAAATGCACTGTTGGGACACACCCCGTCCAAGAAGAAACATCACTTTAGCCCAGATGTTTAGATTTAAGAGTCCAACAGATAATTCACCTGAAAGCCAGGTAAATTCTCATTGTCTTGGAGGTTTTATGCTTTGTAATAATATTGTTTGAAAGGGCTTTGGTATAGGTGAAGGTGTTTGCCTTTACTTCCCCTGCAAATATATATGCTAGAGCATCTGGTTATTATTGTTATGTCTGAAGAAATTATGTTTCAGTTCAGTATTTAGTTGTAGTCTTTTTACAGTATTTCATCTTTCTAATTATATATTTTTAATCTTTATTCTCATTTATTAAAATATATGAGTTTTCATTTTCATTTTTTCTCTTCTCATCTCACAATTGTCTAAGAATCTTCTTTAAGCCCTCTTTTATTATTAAAAAATCGTGTTTTTCTTTTTCATAATATCTGTATCCCTTGGGATAAAAAGAGCTGCGTAAACTTTAGATTATACACTGGAGATTGTTTTTTGGAATTTTATTGGCCCTGAGCCATGATCATCAGCCAAGATAAATTTCGGGAATCACTAAAGTTCACTCACAGTGGGCACTAAGGGCACTCCCGGGACCACTCCAAGCTCTAAGTTTCTGTAACTCCAGTGACCTGCCTCATAGTCACCAAGTTACCTGTTTCAGCACTGAATGGAACGCTGAGACTGACAGATAGCGGGAGGAGAAGGAAGAAAGGTAGACAAGTAGACAGACTTTCATCCTGATTTGTATATGTGTAATCAAGCAGAATCTCCCTTTGACTATCAAAAGAAGTGTCTGGAGGGGATTATGCAGAAAGGAGGACTCTCTAATCAATTTAGTTGTAACAGATTTAAAATATGGCTCAACATGCATTATTGCTTTAACATATAGTTTTAAACAGCTATGTGATATTAAATTCATGAGATATGTTTTTGTCTCATAACAATGACAGTGAAGCTGCAGTATAACATAGTAGTTAAGAGTATGGACTTTGGAACCAGGTGCCCTGGTTCAAATCCTGCCTCACCTACTTCCTGCTGGGTGACCTTGGGCAAAATATTTAATTTCCTCTGTGTCTCAATATTCTTATCTGTAAAATGATGATGATGCTATAATCTACCTCCTTGGGTTGTTGTAAGGTTAAATGGATTTGTTATGTAAGCACAATGTGTAAAGAAAAGTGCCTGGAATGTGGGAAGCCCACTAGAAGTGTTGTAATCTCGTTAGGATATTTAATGTTATTGTAAAGGGTTGTTGGGAAACTATGTGAGCGTGTAAAGTGCCTAGCCTAGTAGACTGCACATAACAAGCAACAAGCACTTAATATGATTCATTTTTATCAAACCCTAGTCATTCTTTTATTTTGTTTTTTAGTTTGTCCTATTGGGATTGTTACCTAATAAAAGAAGAAAAATTTTAATTACCATGAGGTATTTTAATAGCAGGACTTTTCATATGTTTTCACCGACCCAAGATGGTCTGTGCTTCAGTTGGTAGGAAACACTCTGCTGTTTCCGTGTTCCTCTTGCTCACCTTGCCCTCCTCGGCAGCAGTAGTTACTTGGCAGACATAAAGGCCCACACCATAGGTTTGTTTTTTATCTTCATCATTCCTTTAGTGTTCTGCATTTACATCAGAAGATTACTTAAGAATGTCATTATTTGATATGTAGCGTGCCATCGTGAGTCAAACTGAAATTGTTCCTTTTGCATGTCTTGGCCAGGTTATGTGTAGTGGTCTCACCGCCATGGGGACAGACTGGACCCACAGGGACAAAGAAGCAAAACAGCACATCCTAGCCCAGGCTCCCCTGAGGGATTCTCTTCTGGATGCAGTAGAAAACCAAGGAGCTGCCATGTGGCCGGGAGGTGGGGTCCGAGTAGTGGTGCAAAGAGTGTACTCTCTTCCCTTCACGTGTCAGCAGGGAAGTGGCTCAGCTCCTTCCCTCGGCTCGGACCCACCTAGAGTTCGGTGAGTGACAAGACACAGGCCGGGGGGGTGCCTATGGTCACCTAGAGAAAGTAGAGTCTCTTCCCAGAGCAATATCTTGGCTGCATTCACCATATACATGGGTTGTCTTTGTTTGGTTGATTTTTTCTTGCATCAAAATTTGGGACACATGGTGTGACAAAAGATTTTGTCTGTTTATTTATTTATATAAAAAGTCCTAAAAAATTTAATTTGCTGCATTTACTTTTACTTTTAATGGTTCGTGTTACTGAAAGTAATATGAACATAAGAAATATTGGTACTGCTCTGAAAAAAGCAAAGACATGGTTACATAACTAAAAAGACCCCTGCAAGATCTATCAAGTTTTATATGTCTTACAAACCTGAGTAAATAATGACAATTAGTAAATCTGTGGCTTTCAGAGAGTGCTGTTTCAGGCTATATTAGCACTGCCTAGTAGAACTTTCTGCAGTAATGTAAATGTTGTATTTGTCCTGTGCTATCTAGTTAGCTAGCCACTGATGACGTATGGTTACTGAGCACTTTAACCATGGCTAGTGGGACTGAGGAACTAAATTTTAAATTGCATTTAATTTTAATTAACTTTATTTTAAGTAGCCCCACGTGGCTAGTGTCGACCCTGGTAGACAGTGCAGCTAGGTGCTGCATGAGCAAGGGCCAGACTATGATTCAGAGTACTTTGCTCATATGAACTGTGGGAATGACATCTTCTCTGCTCAGATTTAGGCCCTTCCTCATTTTCTGTTTTTTCAAATAGCTGTAGACACATCATTGACCGAAGAGTTTATGTCAGAGCCTTGGCGTAACCTTTTGAGGTTATCTTTCTTTCTATGTTAAATTGCCGTCAAAGCAGTAAGACAGATTTATAACAGAATGGAAATTAAAAGTATAGATGCCAGTTCATCAAACAATCATTTTTTTCTACCTACTCTTAGTAAGAAAACACATATTGGAGAAACAATAATTAACAATCATCCTATTCTTATGGTGCCTTCTGATGTCATTCAAGAGTGATAGGAAAACACTTCTTTGTTAAATATGAATCCTCTTCAAGTGGATGGCGGTTTATTTCAAAGTGCTATGTATTTCAGAAACTCTCCTTTAGGTGTAGAGTTAGAGAATATTTCTTTTAAAATTAGAAAAAATTTATTTTTATTTTGTTTGGAATATGTATTTGTGTGAAATTCATTATATCAGTTTTAAGGTTTTTAACATGACTTCTTAGCTGTAGACCAGTTTTGTACTCTTTGACTTTCTAGTTACACGAGACAGTTAGACATAGGTTTTAGACATTGGTTTTGTTTTGCTTTGCTTTTTTCCAGGGTTAGTATTTAGGGTTAGTCTTTGGAGAAGGGATTACTGAGTAAGGTAGGCACTAAGGATCTTGGTAATGCTGCCCCAGCCCAGCACACAAGCCACATACTTGGAGGAGATGAGGACAGCAGGAACTGAGACACCATGATGAGAAGGCAAGACAAAACTAACAGTGAGGTTGCTTCCACAGCGTGCACCTCGAAGACTGTCCTCCAGCTCCTTCAACGGTACTTGTTTTACTTGTTAAGCAAAGAGAAGAAGTTGGAAACTAAAACCTGGAGAATTGCTGCTAGTGGTCGGCATTATTAATGCTTTGGATTTGTACCTTAGAACACACACTTAGACATAGCAAATGAGACTGTGCTTGTGGTGGATTGAAAGAAGGCCAGGCATAAACCTCAAAAACAAGAAAACAACATTTAGTTATTCAGATGTAATGAATGTGCATTGTGTAGGGTGTGTTTCTTGTAGTACACATGAGATTGTACAACGCTACAACGCTGAGACTAAAGGATATTAGTCCCACTACACAGATGAGGCAACTGAGCCTCAGAGAGGTTTCTATTTGCTGGTAGTTATACAGATGGACAAAAAGAAAAACCTAATCAAAAAATGACAGAGTTGTAGAGAGTATTGGAGCTGAAAGAAAGAGGAGAAACTTGACTTAGAACCAAGCTGTGTTTAGATTAAGGCTGACTCGGGTCAGGTCGTCCTGGAGCAGCAACAGAAGTGACAGTGCCCAGATGTGGGAGAATTGACTGGACTGTGTAGGAAAATGAACTTTTGCACAGAGGGCCATAGCATTTGGCCTCAGGTTTGAGCACAAGCCATCTGAGATGTCTTTTGGATACAAAAAGGTCTTATTGTATAACTGATCATTAATATTTTCTAGATTCATTTGCTCTAATAATGCTCAGGCTCTCCAGTTTACAAGTCAAATTAATATAAAAGTAAAATTATATTTTACCCTCCACTAATTCTTTGCTAATGTATATATAAAGAAAAACATATTAAAGTATCTGCCTTGGAGAATAATTTAGCAATATGTTTTCTAATGTAGACTTTTTTATATATACACATGTAACATGTATATAAGAGAGAGCATTACTAGAAGACTTAGGGATATAGCTTAGAAGGTTCCTTTCTTTTCTACTTGGAATTTCTATCTGTAAGTTCCTGACCATAGGTAACTTTGGGTGACCCCCTTTGCAACACATTTGAGTTACTCTTCTCCAGAGGCATGAGTGTGGCAGACACAGAAGGGAAATTGCACAGTGACCCCTTACCCCTGAAGGTGGCTCCAAGTCTGCTCTCTCACCATAACCTGCTTCACCCCAAAGATCTTACTGTCAGTGAACTGAAAGACAGCTGTGATCACTATGTGTTTTCTATAAAGTGCCAGAAATGATCATGTCAAAAGAAATTAAGGCCTGTGACAAAAGACACAATAATTGTGTCTTATGGTAGCCCTTTTGCCACAATAATTCTCCCTTCGCTGCCCAAACCAGATCAGATGATCCCTGATGAAACACTGTGGTGAGTTTTATATCTAACTTGACTTATCACCTTAATCGTAGGTGTCAGTCTCAATCTGTTCCCAGTGGTCTAGCACTGTCACTTTTCTGAGATCAGTAAGAGCTTGTCTTCTGATGACAGAAAGCCCAACTTTTGCCAACTTTGAAATTAAAGGAAATTTATTTGAAGCCAGCAGTCCTGAATAGGGTCAGATAGATTTGGTCAAAAGGCTCATGTCTTCTTAGCTGTGAAACATTATCAAAAATACACTTTAGACTTCAGAAATATAATATGTAAGAGTCTTCTGTCCATTGTTCTTCTAGATGACTTCCTTTAACACAGGCTATTGAAAAAAACATTTCTATGACGTTTCTCAAGGTGTTGTAGGTCAGAGTGACTGACACAAACTTAAGTTTTATAAATCATTAAAATCAAAGGTAAAAAAATCAATCCAGAAGACACTCCCTAACTGTTAAGCTTGGCAGTCTGTTCAGGGCCCAAACATACCTTTACTTAGATCCACTGGATATTGAATGAATATTAAATAAATGCATGACTAATAAAACCATAGGCTCTTTTTAGTAGAAAGGGAGAAGTGGTCTTGGAGATAATATATAGTGGAGGGAACTGGGGCAAAGAAAATTCCCTAGTGACTCCCTCCCCCATGGCAGAGCAGAACCTGGACCTCCTTACCTCACTCCCAGTCCAAGGTGATAGCCATTAAACATTGCCTCACTTTTTGAAACATTCACTTTCTTTCTCCTTAAGATATTTAACTTAGGGACAAATAATTTAATTTTATCCCTTAGAGATGCATGTTCTTTCTTGCCTGTCATTGCAGAAATATTTATAATGAGAGAGTTAGTCTTTTGTGAGGGCATTCAATTCATAGAACTTGCTCAGTGGTCATGCTTTTAGACAAAAAAGCTAGAAGGGCAGAACCTTCCAGTTAAACAGTTTAATGGTTATCCTGCATTATAGTTTTATGGAAATTCGTTGAGCTGAATTCAGGGGGAAAAAAGCACATTTTCCTCTCTCTGTACCTTGATGTTTTATTCTCTCTTTTCATCTTCTGACCCTTCCTTTAGTCTCTTGTCTTGTATTTCTTCCTCCTTTTCACTAAGCAAAAAAAAAAAAACAATCCACCATTGTCCTGCGTCAGGTTCTGGGTCTGCAGTAGTTCACAAAACCAGACATTGTTCTGGCACTCATGGAGCATGGTCTATTGGGGGAGTCCCACACAAAACAATTAAAAACAAATACATTTATGATTATAATTTGTGATAAGTGCTCTGGTAAGAAAAAGTAGGACACTATGAGAGAGAGTAATAGGGACAGAATTTAGTTAGAGGATTCAAGGATGACTATTCCAAGGCATACTACTTAATCTGATGCTTGAAAGACAAATCGACATTAGGTAAAAAGCAGGTGAGAGAGAATTGCACACAGAAGAGAGAACACCTGGGAAAGCTCCTAGACAGGAAGGAGAAGCCAGTGTAGCCAGGACACCGAGCCAGCGGGAGAGCCCCAAGAGGCAGGCCAGCCACAGCCTCGTGGGCCATGTGCAAGAACTGCAGTGTTGGCTGTGGCTGCTCGCTGACCTAAATAAGGTTTACTTGTTTGAAAGGCAACTTTAGCTGTTGGATGGAAAATGATTTGGGAACAGGGGCACATGGAACAGGGCCCCAGTGGAAGCAGAGAGACCCAGGAAGAGGCTACTGCAGTAGTTCAAGTCAGCCCAGGTTCCTGAGTGTCATGTGGCACTGCTGGGGAATGGAGAAAAGGGTTCATGTTCTAAATGTTTGTGATGACTTGGTAAGGGATTGGGCATGTGAAGGGACTAAAGTAAAAGGAAATACTCAGAATGATCCTCAGTTTGATTGCTTGGTGGAATGATGGGCCATTTACTGAGATGAAAAAAAGCTGGAGTGAGAACAGGTTTGGAGGGAAGCTTGAGAATTCATTTTGGGGACTGTTTAGTTTGAGATTCCTATGAGACATCCAAGAACAGATGTCAGATGAAAGTTGGATAAACAAATCTCACATTCAGAGAAGGATTTTAGGTTGGAGATACATATTTGGGGGTTTTCAGCCTACAACTGGTCAGTATGTATACTTGTATGTCCACTCATTTTATTTGCTAATTTGAATAGGTTGTATTTGTCTGTGGTGCTAAGC